TCTGTAGTCTGTAGCTATCCTCTGGCTGAAGAGCAAGAATAATTAATAATTATTATTAATTATTAATAATAATTAATAATTCCTTAGGATGTTACCCTAGCTCCTAATTTTGTAATGGTTTACCATCTGTTCACGGTATAAAGGGCTCAGAAATGTCTATTGTACCTAATGCATTATAGATGTGGAAATAATAAAATAAAATTTGCAAATGTGTAAAGTGAATTAATGCTAATATTAGTTCCTTTGGGTTTGGCCATTTTCACATTTTTGTAATGTTTGAAGGCATATTTTGCAACATACTTTAAATTCTTTAAGGTGAATTAGATGTGTTCATCTTATTTAACCAGCATGCTTTTGGTTAAGTAAGTTAAAACTCAGTTGAATAAAATTTAAGTCAGTAATATAAAAAGCAATGAGTTGGCCCTGGCTGGTGGCTCCATTTGTTGGAGTGCCATCCCATGCACCAAAAAGATTGGGGGTTCAATTTCTGGTCATATATCTAGGATGTGGGTTTGATCCCATTTGTGGTGTGTTTGGGAGGCACTGATCGATGTTTCTCTCTCTCTTCCTCTCTCTCTAAAATCAATAAAATATTCTCTGATAGGATTAAAATAAAAACATTTTTTAAAAGTAATCATCTGTTTTACAGTGTGATATTGCAAAAAATTTTAGCTGTATTTTGGCTATAAGAACAGATAGCACTCTACAGTGGATGAAGATTTCCTAAGGATATTAAATTTGACATAGGTTTATTCCATAATGATAGCAAATGTTGGGAATTTGGAACCCAAATGTCAAATTTCACATACAGATTTTCTCTTTCTACTGATTTTCCTCCAGAGGAAGAATCTCAAAATTTAAATTGTTTAAAAGGGATTATAATGCTACTAGAGGCCTGGTGCACGAAATTCTTGCACTCGGGGGTAGGGGGTGGTCCCTTCAGCCTGGCCTACGCCCTCTTGCAGTCCGGGAGCCCTCAGGGGGATGTCCAACTGCTGCAGAGGCAGGAGAGGCTTCCACCACCACTGCTGCACTCGCCAGCCGTGAGCTCAGCTTCTGGCCTAGCCGCACTCCCCCTGTGGGAGCGCACTTATCACCAGGGGGCAGCTCCTGCGTTGAGCGTCTGCCCCCTGGTGGTTAGTGTGCGTGAGAGTGAGTGACTGGTCGTTCCACCTTTCAGTCGATTTGCATCTTAGCCTTTTATCATATAGGATTTTAGGATTTAAGAAACAGGTTTTGCCCTAACTGGTTTGGCTCAGTGGATAGAGCGTCAGCCTGTGGACCGAAAGGTCCCAGGTTCGATTCCGGTGAAGGGCATGTACCTTGGTTGTGGGCACATCCCCAGTAGGAGGTGTGCAGGAGGCAGCTGATCGATGTTTCTCTCTCATCGATGTTTCTAACTCTCTGTCCCCCTCCCTTCCTCTCTCTGAAAAACCAATAAAATATACTAAAAAAAAAAAAAGAAACAGGCTTTATTTTTCTGCATATTAATTGAGCAGTAAGGGTAATCAGTGAATTGCAGTACATACTGATAAGTTGTTTTAAAATCCTTAATGGAAACTTAATATTTAGGTGTTTATTTAGGAAATATTTTAGTTTATAATAATGATTTCTACAAAATTTGATTGTCCATATGTTTTAATTGATTCAGAAAGAATGAAGTGTATTGATTAATAATTTGCATTTTAGCTTTATAAAAAGGGAAACACTATGATTAATCATATTTTAGGCAATTTGTATGCCATTGAGACAAATTGAGATTTGCATTTTTCCCCTCTCCTTAATCTCATAAGAGTGTTATCACTTTGTCAGTAAATGTGAAGGTAAAGATTGAAAATGGAGATTTTGTGTGTGTGTGGTTTTCAGTTCAGCATGTAAAGAGCTTTTAGAAGTTATCACTTTGTTCTAACAATAAATAGGAAACTGAACAAACTGAAAACTCAACAAATCTTCATAGGTGTGTCAGATGTTAGTGTAAGAAAACATTCAAACTTGTAAAGAATTTTTGTGAGTTATTTGAGCCAAACTGTAGACAATTTCCAGGAAGCACAATCTAAACATATTGGGATAATGCTCTGGAGAACGGTGGTTTTTCATCTGTTTTTATAAATTACTGTCAAGGGTGGAGATATAAGTGGGTTACATGAAATCCATTGGTGACAGATTAGGAAGGTGGGAGAAAGCGAAGTTGGGAGTGGGGAGGGGAACCTCTGGGATTGGATAAAAAGTAAAAGGATAGACACATGCTTCTTTTACATAGGTGGGCATAGGATAGTTAACAGTCAACAATTAAAATGATAACAATAACAATGAGGGAGTTTGTGCCCTGAGGGGTCCAAAAAAAGGGAAGTTACAAGTTACCCTGACATTCCACAGGTATGTTATCTTAGATGCAAAAAGACAATAGGCTCAGTGAAGTTAGAAGTTGATTTTTGTCTTAGGGAAGATACTGGCCTATGACATAACTACCCACTATAAACTGCTTTTTAATTAAAAGGTTTTAATGTCAGATCATCCTTTGTGGTTACTTTAGGTCTCTTATGTTTGCAAGGCTGCCAAGTAGGCCTTCCCTGAGTTAGTCAGGTTAGCATAAGCATGTCAAGCACAAAGGATAACTAACATGGGCCAAATAAAGAAGGTTTAAGTTTATGTGGGCCACTTAAAAGCAAAAGCTTCAATTTTCATAGAAACGTAGGTTTATTTCTATAGAGACATGCTGAATAAAATGGGCTGAAATAAATGAGTAATTGTTAACATAAAATAATATAACATTTTAATAAAAATTAATATTTTTTCTTAACATTAACTTACCAGATACTGAATAACTGCACAAATAAGCAAATGTAACACAAATAAACCTATTTTTCTTGTTCTCTGGAAGCAAAATATTTCCTGTTGCAAACACCAAACAAGTCAGTCCAAGACTAATGACGTGGCAATCGGCTGGTAAAATATTCGCTGCTAGTGTTAGTGGAGAGAAATGATGCGTCTGCGCGTAAGGTGCGTAAGAGAAATGAATGCAACACGATTATAGTAATCAGTCATTAATGAATGTTGTAGTTCGTTATTAATAATTATGTATAACAGGATATTGTAAAAATTAAGTTATGAAATTTTTATTAAAACATTTCTTACATACCGTTAAATTGGCTGGGCCACAAAAATATTCACTGTGGGCCGCATGTGGTCCGCGGGCCATGAGTTTGACATGCTTGGGTTAGCATGTGGCCCTTTTTGTCTGCTCAGAGAAGTGAGGTCAAAAGGCAAACTGCTACTCCTAAAATTGAAGAGATAGCTGAATACAGAGAATGGCAACTTACCCCAGTAGAAACCCAGGAGTGGAAACCTCTGAGGCCGTGGTCAGCAAACTGCGGCTCGCGAGGCACATGCGGCTCTTTGGACCCTTGAGTGTGGCTCTTCCACAAAATACCACGTGCGGGCGCGCACGTACAGTGCGATTGAAACTTAGTGGCCCATGTGCAGAAGTTGGTATTTTGTGGAAGAACCACACTCAAGTGGCCAAAGAGCCACATGTGGCTCGAGAGCCACAGTTTGCTGACCACTGCTCTAAGGGAACCAGTACTGGGTAGGAAAACCTAAACTGTATTTGGTTAAAAACTCCAGGGGGACCCGGTAATAGGGGACTGCCACACTTTCATGGTTCTTACCTCCAGGTCTTCACAGTTGAGTATCAGAAAAACACTCTAGTGCAGGGGTGGGCAAACTTTTTGATTCGAGGGCTGCAATAGGTTCTTAAACTGGACCGGAGGGCCGGAACAAAAGCATGGATGGAGTGTTTGTGTGAACTAATATAAATTCAAAGTAAACATCATTACATAAAAGGGTACGGTCTTTTTTTTTTTTTTTAGTTTTATTTATTTCAAATGGGCCGGATCCGGCCCGCCGGCCGTAGTTTGCCCAGCTGCAGTTTAGACCCTAAAACTATTCTTTGAAGGCAACAGTGAACTCAGTTTTAGAGTTACCAATAACCATGCTTGAAATTCCTACAGCACTGAATAATGGAAAAAGCACTGGCTTTGAGGTTAGGCAGATCTGGGCTCCAATACCGGCCCTGCCACTTATTGGTTGGTGGCAAGGTATTTCGACTCTCAGAAGCGCAGCTGGCCGTAGTTTGCCCATGGCTGCAGTCTAGTGCTTTCTGTAGAGGGAAGCGAAAGTAACCATTTGGAAATATACCAAGGCATTCTCTTTTTCTTAATGAGGTCTACCATCAGGAGAAAGTATTTTACCAGCCTT